ACAGTGCACAAAGTGAATTTCAAGCTAAAGCAAAAGGTGAAGTATTCACAATCCTCGTTATTTGGCTAAAACAAAAAGAACCATCGGCGTGGTCTTTAAAAGTCAGCAGCCAAACGCCACGCAGCCGTGAAGACAACAACAGTAAACTTTCTGTTTCTGAATATGCTCGAACATGAACTTAACCTTTGTTACTAGGCAACTAAAAACGTGTTCTTTATTTCCTATCAAATCAAACAGTGTTACTCAGAAAACAACACATACTCAACAAGTTAAATCATATGCAGGACTACAGTCCAACTGCGAGGGGGAACATTGTCCTGACGGTGCATCTGCACAGTTGTTTACACCTCTGAATGGATGTGGAATTGTGCCGAGGTCATTAACAAAAAGGGCAGTCCCCATCGTCTTTGTATTCAGAGTTTGGTCGAGGAACACTTTGCGAGTGAGTGGTACCGAAACAATTGGTGCGCCGCTCTGATCCCAACACTGCTGCTGAGCTTTGCTCGTATTTGGCAGAAAGTCTCCCCTCTTTTTTTCGGCGCGGCAGCCTGCAATGCCTCTGGTCTCCATGGAGCTCCTTGGTCACCAACATCTGAGGGAAAGGTCATTTATACTGCAGACACAGTTGGAGAAAACCGCTCAGGTGTCTGCAAGAGAAGCCACCTGTGTCACGCTGGAGTTATACATTCATTCTGGACAGTAGCTACTGGGCCGTGAAGCCTTTTTCAGTTACCGCTGAGTTGTGTTAGCGACTACACACCATTTACTTCCTCACAGTTTGCCATCTGCTCAGGAGCACAACTCATCAATGTGCCGTTTTCTGTCTCTGTCAGAAAAGCGTGTGTAATTTTCACATTTTGACAGGAGCTGTGCAATATGTGTGTTGACAGGCATTCTCTGCTAAACTGCACATACCTGGGTAAACTTACCTAAAAGCAAATGCTATCACACATAACATGATGGGCTCCGGCAGTAAACAGCGGTGATGTTGAGATGGGTTTGTCATTTCATGCTTATAAGCTGTTCCAGATCACTGTTAACTCCTCCACAAGGTGATGCTTTTCGCTTGAAGCGCAGAGTCAAAAGCAGACAGCAGCGAAAATGAGAAATGGATGGCAGGAGAGTGCTGCAGGAAAAGGAGCCGCCCAAACCTCCAAATCATTGGCAACAACACCCACACGCTTCCAGATGTCACAGCAAAAACTTCTATCTGTTGTTAACAGATGTCATGAGTCCAAGAAAGTTTTTTTTTCAGTAATTAATTTAGGTGATTGAAATTTAGTTTTTTTTGTCTGTTTTGTAATTCAATCCCTAAATAAAGACAAATAACGCTACTCACCATTTGTGTTGCAAACATAAAATTATACATTTTCCTAAAAAGTCTTTGATTGAATTATTTTTCTTTTATTGTTGAATTAATATCTAATATATATTTTACATTGGGGATTTCAATGACTTTGTGCAGAATAGAAAAAAAGTAGGTCATTCTATTTAAGGCACAGACACACACAGTAATGTCTCCATGACCTCTGAAGACATTACATTGATTGTTTGGACAACCACTTACGTTAACCACACTTACTACTTGACTAATCCTTACTTTCATCTCACCATAACCTAATCCGCCCCTTAACCTAAACCTTAAAACCCAAACCTTAACTTTGACCCTTGACTTCCTTTTGCCCATGGGGACTCATGTCCCCATAACATGACTGAGTAAACAAATGTAGGTCACAACAACATTAGTAATAACTGGACCATACACACACACACATACACAGAAAGAGAGAGAGAGATACATCTTCAAAATGGAAGGTGAGCTGATTGTTGTTGTGCCCCTCCTCGTTCAATCTGAGCCAAAGTGCTCGGTCCTCAGTTTGGCAACATGTGTCAGCCTACATTAGGTGGACCAGTGAACAATGGCCTCAGCCAGGAGCAGGTGGTGGTTACTTGAAACTCTGAGAGGAGGGTGTGCATTAGTGGCAGCATGTGTTTGTGTGTGTGTTTGTGTGTGTGTGTGTGTGTGTGTGTGTGTGTGTGTGTGTGTGAGGGAGGGAGGGAGAGAGACTGGTCTGTCCACCATCTGGAGCACTCGGACAATCCCAGGTGAGGCGGAAATTTGAATGTACTGTTTCTATCAGTCCACTGACCGGCCTCTCTCTTGGATCCTAGCACTTTTTAAAAGAGACCCCATGGTTCCTTGCTATGACTCTAGTGGTGGCACTAACCACTTTGTGAGAGTGTGAAATGAGCCATTACAAAGTGTGCAGCACCGTACCCCCTCCCTTTTAAGGTGGAGTAAGCCAAAACGATAAGTCAAGTCAAGTTTATTTATAGAATGTCTTAAACAAACAGAATTAAACCTTTGCCTCAAAACGAAGAACAGCACAATGGATGAGTGTGGACTTGTTCTTTATCTTTGTAAGGACCAGCAAGACTCTTTCACAGACTGAGGGCATGTTGGGACCTCACAACTTCAAAAGTCTGTTTGAGGATCAAGGCTTGGCTTTAGAGTTAGGATTTAAAATAGGTGTGGGTTAGGGGTTAGACATTTTGTTGTGATGGTGAAGGTTAGTGTAAGGGGGTGAGGGAAATGTAAGTCAATAAGTGTCCTCATAAATATAATAATAATATTAATTACAACCTTTATTTATAGATTACCTCAAGAGTTAACAATTCATCAAACAGGCATAGCAAAGCAGTAAACTGGACGTATCTCTTTTCATAAATTATGGCATAATTGAACCTTTGAAAGACAATAGTTATAAAAGTTAATGATAAGATGTACAAGTGTGTGTTGAAAAAGACGTTGTGTTCATATGAAAAGAAAAAAACAGGATCTTTGAAAAGTGTGTTTCTGAAATTACCAGCTTGCAGAAGAGAAAGAGCCTTGGGCTGAGAGTTAATGCAAGTTATTAGCAATTCGGAATAAAAATAAACAGTTTCTAAACTATGAGTCATGTCTGTGCATTCTGATATGATAGTCCTTAAATGACCTGAACAAGTAAAGACAAGTGGATCTTGCTGCTAAAAGGTTGAGGCTTCATCCATACTGCTACATTTTGGTTTTTGCCTCGTCTTTTGTAGTTAGAACAGTTTCAGAATTGCCACATATTATTCAAATGATAGCTTGTCTCCTATGCATGTAAGCAGTTGTATCATTGTAAAATTCTGAATTCAACTTCACAACAACTGTAAGCAAAGACAACGGGTCCAGCAACACTTGTTAATTGTCCACATTGTGTGGTGGAGGCGTCTCGTGTGATTGGAACCATTGCAGAGTTTGTATGTTTTTAAACAAAAAACATACATGGATGTAGCCGTAGTTGTGTGACTGAGAAGACGTTGTTGTTATTCTTGTTGATTCGTCCATAAAATCAATGGTGATATGCACAGAGTGTTATCTGCTGTCGCATCAGACTTTACTTATTCCTTATAATCATTCATGCAGCATAACAAACCAGTTTGGGGCTGCTCAAATAGAGTTTTGTGATAAACAATCCTCACTCATTCCTGTGTTTATTGCCACAGACACTATTGTTGGCAGGTGTTCAGAAAGCACTGTCATCTTTTTGTGTTCCTGAGCTCAACCCGGGTCTCAGTATGTGAACACAGTGCTGCTGCAGACAGAACAGACGTCTGGATCTACCCAAGGCAAACAACACACCTCATCCGTGGCCTGGGCACCTTTCTGCCCACACTGCTGTCTCATCAGCCACTTGTTTTGTGGTACTTCTCTCACTCTATTTTAGTCCAAACAGCTTTTTTCCAAAAGGGCTTTGGACAACTTCCACCCCCTGTCCCTTACAACTACACAACTCTTTGTCCCATCACGTCCCACCTCACCTCTCTACCCCTCTGATTGTCCTCTCCAAGACAATCTTCAAAGCTCATAGGCAGTTGTCAACCTCAATTCCTCACAGCACTCTTAGCCGTGATCATCGGAGCAGCAAAGTGATTAAACATGAAACTTGCCCAGTTCATGCGGAGGGACAGCTCACGCTCAGAAGCATGTCTGCATGTTGTTCCTCTGTTTTGAATTCTGAGTCCATTTTACATGTGCACTGTAAAAAAAGATCTGCTTGCATTTCGGGTTGGACGCTGATCCTGGAGGTTTGAGTCAAAGCAACATCTCTCACCACATCTAACACACTGAAATCCAGAATCACACTCAAATAGCTGAAGCCTCTCCCAGGTTTTGCAGTGGCTGACTCAAAGGAGTGACAGCAGGCGGCCAATTTAGCCCTCCTACATCTTAATACCTGTTATTTAGCTATGTGGCTTTGAGTTTGTAGGACTGTTATTTTCAATTCAATTAAATCCTATTTGTATAGTGCCAAATCACAACATGCATTATCTCAAGGCAATAATAAGGTCACGACCTTACAGTATTAAAGTGAAACCCAACAGTTCCAATGAAAAAGCACTGGTGACTTTGGAGAGAATAAAACCTTCTTTTTAAGAGGAGGAAGACTCTAGAACCAAATTCAATGTGGGCGCAAATCTGCATTTTTTTTTTTTTTTTAGGAGATGCATTGATGTTGTTTTTAATTATGCAGCTCTACTTAATAACCATAATAATACAAATATGAATGTGATTTAGATTCTTTTCAGCTGTTCACCCCCACTTGTTTTCTTTTTCTGTGTTCTTTTACACGCTTGTTTTTTCTTTTATATTTCTTTACATGTCAGCATCTATGTATTTACATCGATTTATTTTTTACTAAGTAAACAGGAGTAACTGAGTTATCCAATCTTTCCCAAAACAACAAAGCAATTATGGACATTTCCATTGGGAAAGCTTTCCTGACATGTAAACAAAGTCTAAAAACAACTTTATTAATATTTCAATTAATCTTTTATTTTTTTACAGTGTATTTCAAACAGTGAACCCCCCTCCCCCCCCTCCCCATTCCCCCCCTCCTACCTTAGCCTCGGATCTGATTGGTTCACGTCTGGCGTCCATCACGGCTGTGGTGGGCGGGACTCAAACTCTCCACTCGTGTTCCCAGAGCTGTGGAAGTGTGCGCCACAGCAGAGCAGAGCAGGGCAGGTTCAGCAGCGTCAGGCAGCATCTGTCACCAGAGGACCACGACTCTTCTCAGTCCGTGAGCCCGACCTTTGTTGTCCACAGTCCCGTCAACTCAGCCTCAGCATACTCAGCACCTCTCCGCCGGTGCGTCAGGACCCCAGAGGAGCCTTTCCGTTTCCAAAAGCGACACCAGTCCCCGGGGTCGTGAAGTCGCTTGTGTGTGTGAACCCTCTTCTACCCAGGGACGCACAGAAAGACCCGCCGCCCGCCTGAGCCTCAACTCCACCTGGATAGCCGACTACAGCCGTCCCGGTTTGAGCTTCAGTGCGGAGAGACGGTGAGGAGGAGAGCTTAGTGCGGAACGGAGCAGGAGCGAGACGCGGAGCAGAAGACAGGATGAATCTCAAGAGTCATCTGATTTTCACCCTCTACACTATTTACGGGATTCTTCTAAAAGGTGAGTCCGGGGCGAGTGGTGTTTTGTGTGTTCGTGCGCGTGTGTTTTTGTGCAGGCTACGTGCGTAATGTTTGTGTGTGTGTGTATACGCGCGCATGGTGCAGACCAGCAGCAGGGGCAGGGTGAGCAAGGGGCAGAACGCGCGGTCACACGAGGGTCCTGACAGAAACATGCGGAGCTCTCTCTCTCACACACTCTCTTGTGTATGTACGCGCGTTCGTCTGCAAACGTGCGCGGTGTAATGATGGGAGCTTGGAGGTAAATGGGAGTGCGACTGTGTGAGGCCGTGCGCGGTGGTGCGTCTCTCCCGGATCGTCCACGCTGTCAGGTCCTGTGCGTAAGTGATGAGGAAAAAAAACGCGCCCTCCAGGAAGACGACACACCTTCACCATGAGACGAGCAGCTCCGCGGTTTGTTTTTGACTCGCAGCACTTCCATGAGTCATAAAGACGCTGGACGCGTTTTACGCAAAGAACCGTTTCCTGCCGCTTGTATCTGTAACTTTAGCAGCTCTCATATACTCATATTTCTATTCAATTATTCATTATTCTACCATGACTTGTGTTTCTAAGGTGCAGGTGCAGTGTTTGTGCGCACCGTCAGCTCCAGTGTTGTTGTTTCTAACCTCAGATGAGTTCTAGATACATGTGTGTCCACTTATATGAATGACAGGACTCCAAATTAAATTCTCCAAAGTTTATTTTCTGCTGAGAAGATTAGAGTCGGTCCCCCTCTCAGTTTAAGCCTCATATATCCCATAAGTATCACTCTGTACAACTGATAACCGTCCAGGTTACAAGATGGAAACCAATTTAATGGCAATCTGAATTTTATTCAGATTTTAAGACCATAAACAGGGTGTCAGAGCACTGGCTGTAAACCAGAAAGGTGACTTTGGGGGTCAAGGTCACTCTGAATTGAGCTTCCTTGTGTGTTTTCATAGACGTACAATAAATAAATATCATTAAAATGTAGAAAGTAAATGGAAACCACCTTTGCTAATACAAAGCAGTTATATACCGTCTTTATGTTTCTTCTATGCTTACATTTCTAATACATGAGTGCCTCAAATAGACAAATGTCTAAGTGACAGCAGATTAAAGGCTATGGGTCAATATGAAAGATAATTCTTTGGCTACAATCATTTGATGTCTATGAATAGACAATTCAAGTTTCTATTTTATAAATGCTTAAGTTCATATGATGTTTCGATGCATTAACACCACACACCATGCAGACACCACTGTAGTTTGGAATATTTCTAGATTTCAGAATATTCCCACTCTGGTACAAACTTGCATGAAATAGACCCAGTTGTATTTTTGTGGTGATTTGTTAATGAGCTCTAACACGGTGTCGAAGTCTTGACACATTCAAGGAAATGAAACAATATATTTTCTTTAATTTCACCACTTTATGTGTGAAATTAAAGAGGGAGCACATCCTGAGTTTCTGGATGCACATGCTCACGTTGTGTTTGGCAGTGGCGGGTGGGCGGGATGATGGTTGTACTCTGAAACAACTTGTCAGTCTGACAGCGGGGGCCACATTCGTCACACTGAGCTTCAGTTTTGTGATATAAAGTCCACACCCCGGTGTATTTGAGGCAGCAGATAACAAAAGCACTAAAGACTAAATCAGCATTATCTTGACTTTATCTGCGGTTTTCCACACGAGTAAATGAGAAATCCCAATTGAAAGATCCATTTGTGCTTGATTCCCTTGATCATTTGTTGTTGTCTCTTTGAAGTGCATGTGTGTGTGCACATGAGAGAGAGAGAGGAGGAGAATGAGAGCCCTCCATCCTTAATAACCAGACATGATTAAGGCCCTTCTTGACTTAATGAATTGGTTTGTAATGAGGTATCTTAGGATATCCGGTATATCTGACAACTCGCACTGCAGCCTTTCTTTTCCTCTATGGTCTCCTAAGGGCGGCACACTCGTGTTGCTGATGTAGATTTGGACTAAGCACAGACATAAGTATGCTGGTAACAGCAGAATGCTCGTCTCATTTCATGTGGGTCTCTCCGCCACGCACGCACTCGCATCAATCTCTTTCTCTCCTCTCCCACCCTCTCTCTCACCCTCAAGAGGATAATGCTAGGCTGCTTGATTTGAACAGTCATCTCTTGGTGCAAGACCTATTATTGTATAGGTTCCACACAGCAGGCAGGTCAGCCTCCAACTGAATGAAGTCTGCCTTGCAGAAGCCATATCCGTGGCGCGCTCTGTAAATGACAGCTGTTTCAGCCCCTCTGGCCCGACGTCAGCTCAGACATCCAAATCCACGTCTCTGTCACCGACCAGCCCCTGCATGCATGGTGCGAATGTGGAGTGCTGGGATGGAGGTTGTTGTTTACCAACAGGTCGAGTTGTTAACATACAGTATTATCCACAGCGTCTCATGTGCCCGTGTCGGAGCCAGAGAAAACAGCCTGTTATGCAAATGCTCCTCTTGCGTAAGAGCTTGTAGCTGAGCGGCAGGTGAGGGGAGATAGAGGCTGCGACAGAGGAGAGAGTGAGATGTTCCAGAAGAGGAGTTGATGTAAGCGTAATGTGGGAGGAGAGGCTGTGGAGGAGGAATGTGCAGTCCTCACAACTAAAATGTGTGATATGTGCACTGGTTGTTGTTTGCTGTTTGGATGTCTGTTTATCTCCGCTGTTCTGTCTGTTTCCTGTCGCTCTGCCTGCCTGCTAGTCTGTCTGTTCTGAACTCTGATCTTGCTAGCCTAAATACAAACCCCCGCTGAGGGATGTGTTTATCCCCGCAGTGAGTCTAAGCTGCTGAAGGCTGACCCTCCATCCCTCTGTACTTCCGTCCATTCCTCCCTCGCTTCATCCTCCCATCCTGGTGTGGAGCTTTGTAGCACAGCAGCGTGGGAAATCTTCTGATAACAAGCGGCCTTGTGTGTGTGCGCGTTTGCAGAGCCACTGATTACACCGGAGAAACAAGATGTTCTCTCTTTCTTGCTCACTTGCACTCTTCCCTCCTGCTTCTGTGTGTTTGTGATGTATTCATTTTCATGGCTTTGCTTTGATGGCCAGAACATGTGAGTGGCTCTGTACCTTATACCGATGCCACAAAGCTTCAATGCTGAGAATCCTCAGTGGAGCAGCACTGGCTCAATGTGAATCACACAGACAGTCAAACACACACACAGACCTCCACTTTGGATTCATTGCTTCTCTCCCGAGGGATTTCAAAGCCAGTCTTTTGTTAGTCCAGGTGTTAAAAAAGTTAAAAGAGAAATGAGGAGGCTGGAGTCGAATGTGGTCGGATTCTAACACGCTCTCATGGCAGAGCAGAACTGCTCCAGGAACACTAACAGTGAAACATCCACCTGTTCATGTGGGACCTTGATCAATTTCTCAGCTGGTTGATAAAAAATCAGCTGATATGAGCCTTTTACAGATGTGACATCATCAGCGTTTATGTTAGCCCATATGAACATTTTTATTTTACAGGATAAATAATGCAGAAAGAATAATTTACATTTATTTTCTTAATTAAACTTCTAAATATGTGTTTCCCATTAATTATCTAGGCTTTGGCCACACACCATATTCTAATTTGTGCCGCCGCAATTTCACCATAAACCAACATTTCTTTACACTTCTCATAAAAACATAAGAGATGTCTAGCTTGGAGGGTGCAGTGCTATTGGCAGCTGTGTTTGCCACGTGCTTGCTCCTGCTCATAGTTTCTGCTGCTATTGTATCATGCAATGCAGCTCCTTCTCTTACTTAGTCTGTGCATCTGTCACTCTGAATCTGTTGTGCAAGAGAGTGACCTTTGTGCATATGCACCCCGTTACTGCTATAGTTTTAATTCATTCTTTAGGAAATGCTGTATTTTAGTTGATACATTACAATGTTTACCTCCCTAATGTCGTTATTGGCGTTTTCCCCCAAAATCCAGTTTGGCTCAAGTTCAAGCTCTTTCATATCATATGAATAAACTAGTGGGAGGTTCAGCTCTGTAATGTGCATCTATGACAAGTTGAATTGAGTGTGTAGGCTTCGGGATGAAATAAGGCAGGAAGAGAAAGGACGCCAGAGTCATTATTAAGCTAAATAAACCCCCATTAACAGATGGCTGTGTGATTGATTGGTGGCAAAAACTCACCAAGTCTCCATAGAGAGAGTTGAAGAGTTTTGAGCTGTATGCAAATATCCTGTGGAGTACAGAGTGCCAACCAGTAGCTCAGCTCCCAAACCAGCTTGTGGAAATCTCGAACAGGCTTTTGTGAGCTTCCAGAAAATGATGTGAGGACAAAGAATGACACTGCAATGCCAGCCAGATCATCATCATCATCTAACTGTGCCGTTCATTAATATTAGATATCGAAAGGCAAAAGGTTTTACCAATCAAATATTCCTTTTGATACATAAGTAACAACATAAGTAAAATTTGTCAAGCACCTGTAAAACATTATTATTGATCCACCGAGTTACTCAGGAGTAATTAGCTCTGTGATGGCAATGATACACTATCATGGGTGGTTGTGTTAATCACAGGTATGTCGTCAGGCTTAAATTGAAGAAGATGATGGTAGCTTGATTTGAATATTTATTATTTTCCAGTAGAATCATATGAAGGTGATTGTGTGAGCTAACAACCTCCTTGTTACAAATACAGAATATTATTATCCCCAAATCGACATTTACCATGAATCGGTGTAGGATTTTTTAACAGCTGTGTGTCACAACTCTTTGCCAATGTGCATCTTAAAGCCAGCCCAAAGTGAGAGAAGGGAGAGATCAAATACAGCCCCCTATGGAGAACAGTGAGATCACAAGCCCACAGGTGGATTCAGCTGCAGCAGCAGACAGAGGGTTTGCACTCTAAATAGACCTCCCACTAGGTGAAAGAAGTATGCAAGCTCAGCTAACATATCAGCTGATGGGGCTTTTCTGCACTGTTAACATGCGGCTATTTCTGTGTACAAGTTGCAACATGAACTGTTGTGCCTTTACTCGGAATCGTGTGATAAGAG